GTCTAACAGAACTCTGGTTTCGAGAGCTCAGGTCTACACTGGCAGCGAGCGTAAACGGTTACAGGCCTCACCGCTTCTTTCTGACACGACCGCTGTGTTAGTATCAGAGAAAACTGAGGTGACGTAAAGCAAAATATTTTAAAACGTACCTGATTTCTTTCTACACGCCATTCTCTAAAAACGCCTAAGCAACTAAAGCCATCGACATCTTTAAAACGTGCCTTTTCAACCACACTGCAACTTAAGAATTCCTCGTTCATATTAAAGTCACCACCGGCTTTTGCAGGCTGACGTCCTGGGTTCGTTTAAATGACGATGTGGGACACGGAACCACCTGTGCGAGATCTGCCTCCTAAATGCCGTCTGCGTGGAAAATACTGGTTAGTCCAGTGGGCCACCCCAGGCAGGCCTTAGCTGAGAGCAGGTGGGCCGCCTCCTTGGGCGGCTGGGCCTGGGCCTGGGGACAGGGGGCGGGACCAGGCCGGTGGGCGCCCCGGAAGGCAGCCCCGGGCCCGCCGCCTGCCTGGGGTCCTCTGTCTCCTGGTCCCACGTGCCTCGACGCTCTGCTCTGCAGCTGTGCAAACTCGAGCGTAAAAACGGTTCGGAGATCTTAGGTCTTAGCGAAGACGGCAGGGCCTGTTGTGAAAGGGCAAAAATAATTGCCACTGAGAACTGCTTCTCAGAATGTCTAGAGCACAGCACTCGGGCCAAACACCAAATGCAGAACGTAATGACCTCCGCAGAGAATAACCGAATGCAAACATTAATCCGAACAGGTTTCTTATTTTCAGGGTTCGCCATGTCATCACTCATTTACTCATCTCTCCAGACAGACGGATAGGATTTTATTAGTTATAACATTTTCGACAGGAGGGGAGGTGGGTGGGGGGAGGAGCTAGATGGGTGACGGGCGTTAAGAAGGCACCTGTTGGCATGAGCACCGGGTTTCGTACGGAAGTGATGAACCACTGGGTTCTCTTCCTGAAGCCAAGACTGCGGAGAATGTTAACTAACTTGGATTTAAATAAAACCTCGGAAGAAAATAAATGTTAATTTTTCAGCTAGAATAAACCTTATACACCAATTTCTTCCTTTTACCAACAAAGCCCTTGAACCCTCAAGGCGTCAAGGACCGGGCCAAGGTCTCACCTGGTTAACAATTCATGTCCGCCTCTCACCTCTGACCTAGTGGAGCTGGAGAGAACACACAGGGGCTCCATTTGCCATCAAATTGCTCAGAACGTTTCCTAAAACAACAGACTTCAGAGCCGGCTCGTCTAGTCACCCGCAAGGCTTGCAATTTCAGATGCACTTTTTAAAAATACTCGAGTCTGCTGACCTTAGCCTCTGAGCATAAACAGCGTGGGGGGAGTTCTAACACACTGGCCTACGAAGAAGAAACCTCGCTGAAAAGGCTTTAACGTGGCGCTCCGACGTGTCCGGGAGCGGCCGTGGGTCATTCCACAACACGCGCTATGATAGGCAATATGTCACCGACGAAGCATTTTCCCATTACTGTCAAAATAATTACATTTATGATAAACCACAACAAAAAACAAACAAAAGCTTTCCGATTCTTTCCCGGAATGCCAACAGCTAATGGAAGTGAGCAGCTGAAGAAGATTCCAGAAAATGCAAATGGACCTGAGTGCTCCAGTGCAATCCTCCTTTTCCAACAACGTGCAGGGGTCACTACGAGCCCCGCGTCCCCAGCGAAACCCGTCACCAATTTGAGTGTTTTCCTTAAAATGGAAAAACAGCTCACGGTGCCACCAGCTTTACAAAATGACACATCCACGAAGCATGTTTCTACTTTTAATTTTTTTGCTTTGATAAATCAATTGCTTCACAAAAATCCCCTTTCGAGACAACAATCCAAGAAAACATACCGTGACAGTATTCACATTTTAAAGATTGTCAGTTCGTAGACCGAACACAACTAAAACAAAGGCAGACTGCTGGGTCACTTCCGTCCCTGACCGCCAGAGGTGGCCTTGCCCACCGTCCAGGTAGGGTTGGGTCTGTCTGAAAGGCAAGGGCCCCGAGCCGGCTCACACAGGTGAGGGCAGCACAGAAAAGGCCGCTGCGACCCGCGGGTGCGCTCTGGTACCAGCTGCCGCCCCGCCGTGCGTCCCGGACAGAGACTGAAACGGACGGCACTACCTGCAGCCAGAAAACGGAAGCCGGGGCCGGCGAAGCCGCGGGAGGGTAACGACGTTCTTACTCTGGGTCTGGGGACACATCCGGAGCGTCCTTCTGGCGGAAAGTCAGGATCGCATCTGCTCCGTGAAAATGAACGCTCGAGGGAGTCCCATTTTCAGAGGTTCTCTTGAAGGTCCGAGGGCCGGAAGATGGGGGTTTATAAAATGCAAACCGACGACAGGCACGCCGGGCAGCGGTTTTATGAGCCGAAACGGCTTGCCACGCCAAGGTTGTCTCCGAGCACCTCGGTTATTCGCGGGGAGAGTGGGGGGGGAAGCTGAGGCCTGTCCACGAACGCCCCGTCTCTGGACGGCTTATCCTAGTCCTCCGAACCCGGTAAGAACTTCGAGCCTAAGGAAACCAGCCTCGGCCGCAGGGGGCGCGGTGCGTCACCGGGCACGGAAGGCTGATCCCAGGCCAGCGAGGGCAGCGGGACCCCGCACGGCCCCCGTCTGTCTCCAAACGGGCAGTCTGTGCAGCCCTCGACTAACAGGCTACCGCAGCTCAGTGAACGTGACCCCTGGGGGGGGGGGGGGGGGGGGGGGGGGGGCAGTGA